TCTGTGTGTGTCTGTGTGTGTGTGCGTGTGTGTGTGTGTGTGTGTGTCTGTGTCTGTGTCTGTGTCTGTGTCTGTGTCTGTGTCTGTGTCTGTGTCTGTCTCTCTGTCTCTCTGTCTCTCTGTCTCTCTGTCTCTCTGTCTCTGTGTCTCTGTGTCTCTGTGTCTCTGTGTCTCTGTGTCTCTGGGTCTCTGGGTCTCTGTCTCTGTGTCTCTGTGTCTCTGTGTCTCTGTGTCTCTGTGTCTCTGTGTCTCTGTGTCTCTGTGTCTCTGTGTCTCTGTGTCTCTGTGTGTCTCTGTGTCTCTGTGTCTCTGTGTCTCTGTGTCTCTGTGTCTCTGTGTCTCTGTGTCTGTGTCTCTGTGTCTCTCTATGTGTCTGTGTCTCTGTGTCTCTGTGTCTCTGTGTCTCTGTGTCTCTGTGTCTCTGTGTCTCTGTGTCTCTGTGTCTCTGTGTCTCTGTGTCTCTGTGTCTCTGTGTCTCTGTGTCTCTGTGTCTCTGTGTCTCTGTGTCTCTGTGTCTCTGTGTCTCTGTGTCTCTGTGTCTCTGTGTCTCTGTGTCTCTGTGTCTGTGTCTCTGTGTCTCTGTGTCTCTGTGTCTCTGTGTCTCTGTGTCTCTGTGTCTCTGTGTCTCTGTGTCTCTGTGTCTCTGTGTCTCTGTGTCTCTGTGTCTCTGTGTCTCTGTGTCTCTGTGTCTCTGTGTCTCTGTGTCTCTGTGTCTCTGTGTCTCTGTGTCTCTGTGTCTCTGTGTCTCTGTGTCTGTGTGTCTGTGTGTCTGTGTGTCTGTGTGTCTGTGTGTCTGTGTGTCTGTGTGTCTGTGTGTGTTTTTCTCTCACGGATACATATATCGAAGAAGGGAAAACGACATAAATTCAACGCCGGGGGGCCCAGCGCGGATCCAAGGAATCCGCGCGGAGCGCCAAGCAGATATCGGTATGCCGTTTGTCTTCCTCTGAGATGGGGTCGCCGCTCGTGGCTTGCGCGCGCCGCCGAGGAGCTGTTCAGCCAGGAGTACGTGAACATACTGGCCATCGGGGTCAACGATCCGGGGGTGGACAGAAGCCCCAACAGTGACACGTCGATTGGTGAATTGTCCGTTTTCGGTTCTCGAGATGGCGCCGGGGCCGTTATTTTCCACCCGCCAGGTGTGGGCCTCGGGTCGTTTTCACTGAACCACGTTTTACTAAAGTCAGGAGGGGAAAAAACACACAGACACGATTAATCGTCGACTCCCCAGAAAACATGGGAAAATATGGGAAGTGGTGGGGAAGACAAAAACCCAGAAAATATGGGAAAATATTTGGAATATTTTTATTTGTGTGTATTTATTTGTGTGTCCTGGGGCCCCTTCATAAGGGGGGCCTGTCCATCCCCGAACGATGGGGGGGGGATATGTAGGCTCGGGAGGGGCCGCTCGGCGACCCAGGATATCGCCCACGGGTCGCCGATTGGGGTCTGGTGGCTCCGCCCCGCCCGGGCACGTGGCTTGGCATCGGTCGGACGTGTGCATCTAGGACCATCGAGGACCATCGAGGACCATCCTCTTCCTCCTCCTCCTCTTCCTCCTCCTCCTCCTCCTCCCTCGATGGTTCTCGGCGAGAACCATCGAGGACCATCCTGGACCATCGAGCAAACAAAGAAAAAAAAAAAAAAAAAAAAAATCACGCACGAAACCGACAATTCGCCCGGGAAGTGGACGTCCGAGCGACGGCAAGGTGGGGAGGTGTGGCATCGGGGCCCGTCGCCGCTCTCTCGGCGATGTGCCGGCGATGCCAGGTAGAGGTTCCCCCCCCCAGCCCCATGTGCGGGCCCCTCCCTGCCGGTATCGACTGCACGTGAGAGTGACCCCTCGCCGGAGTGACCTCTGGTGCGGGCCCATTCGGGTCCCCCAGTCGCCGAACGCGATGCGATAGCAGCGTCTTGCGCGCTTGTGTTTGGTCCCAGTTTGGTCCCTCCGCGGCCCCCAAAAAATCCGCGCACCAAAGGTCACTCTCGCCCAGAGTCACTCTTGCGTGTAGCCGACGTTAGCCCTCAGGCCACCTTCGCGCGGTCCGCCAGGAAGATCTGCGCGGCGCAGCCGTCGTTGGTGGAGGCCCGCGCCCCCTGCAGGATCTTCGGGGACATCCACGGCCAGCTGCGGGACCTGCTGCTCCTCTTCTTCGCCTTCGGCGCTCCAGTCGAGGAAGCAAAGGCGGCATAAGCATAGCCTTTTCAGAGGTCCGCGCTGGTCATCTCTGGCCCTCCCAGGCGGTGTTGGAGCAGATGAGGTCGGAGGATCGCGGCGCATCGCCGATGCATCGCCGATGAGGTTCGATGTAGAGCCCGATGTTCTCCGCGCTGGCGTCGCCGATACATCGCCGACGTCGCCGATGCATCGGCGATGCGGCGCGATCCTCTGACCCAATTTACTCGGACCCCATCGAGGAGGCCTCTACTCTCGGAGGTCCGCGCGTATGTGTCGGATCGGCGTTGGGCCCCCATTGGTGGCGCTGGCCTTCGGCGCGTTCCGCGCGCCAGAGAGGGTGGCAAATCCGCGCGGACCGCCGAATGCTTATGTGTATGCCGCTGTTTCTTCCTCTGCCCAGACGAGCGCAACGCGCCGATGGTTGTCTTCAACGGCGACTTCGTGGACCGGGGCGAGCACCAGCTGGAGGTCATGGGCTTGCTGCTGGCCTTCAAGGTGCTGCTGCCCGAGAAGGTGTGGCTGGTGCGCGGCAACCACGAGTTCCGCTTCATGAACGAGAAGTACGGCTTCCTGGACGAGTGCAACAAGAAGTTGGGGTCTTTTGGGCCCAAGCTGTTCGAGTTGTTTCACCGGGTCTTCGACGTGATGCCAGTAGCCTGCATGATCTCCGACCGCATCCTGTGCGTCCACGGGGGTATCGGCGAGGGCAAGTGGAAGGTCGATGACATCCGAGGAGTCCGCCGGCCGCTGAATGACGACGTCTCGGATCCAGAGTTGCTGTGGGTCCACAATTTGTTGTGGTCGGATCCAATTGAGGATGACAACGAGAACGCCGACGTCTTCGGAGTCCACGTCTCGCCTAGAGGCGGCTCACTGTCAACCTTTGGCTGGAACGTCACGAAAACGTTCTGCGCGCGCAACGGACTGGGCCTGATCGTCAGAAGCCATCAGTCCAAGAGGGACAGCTTGGGGATCGACATCATGCACGAGAACCTGCTGATGCGAGTTTTCTCCGCGAGGGACTACGAGGGCCACGGCAACGACGGAGCCGTGCTCCTGGTGAAGCCAGTGGATCCAGAGTTGCCAGATGGTCTGTTGTCAGTGAGACCTCAGGTGTTGCGGTCAATTGCCAAGGGAAAAAAGGCGAAGGCGACCGTGGCGGAGAAAGACAGGTTGGCCTCGTCGAAGCCGGCGGCGGAGGAGCGACAGACTACGGCGGGCAGTGCCGATCCTACTCCCGACGAAGACGAGGACGAAGACAAGGGCCCCGCCTTTGAAAGCAGGAGGTCACTGCGGCAGTCTCACCCCACAAGCTGAGCCTAGAGAGTCCCCAGTGCGAGGCGCTGTCGCACCCCATCCACACCCCACCCCACCGTCTCCTCCTCGACCTGGTTCGGGCACTCCCCGTTTCCTCGCTTGCATGCTCGCCTGTGCATGCGCGCGTGCATGCACAGAGCGAGCCAGGTGCACCGCGGAGATCTGCCAAGCGTGCGAGGATCATCCCACGAGCTGCCAGTAGCAGGCCGACTCTCAAGAGGCATCGCGACTTTGTGTTTCTGTAACCGGGTCGCGGGAGATTCGGATCTTGCATGTCCAATGTTTGCGCCTGCAGATTCGCAAATATTGTCCGTTTTGCTGGGCTGTCCGCAAATATTCCGAGTGTCACGCCATTCATCACCGTGTAGCTTTTGTATGATAATGGGTTGCTCACCAAGCTTCGGAGCGCCATCCCACTACTGATAAGTCCTGTGTGTCACCTTGATGCGCGTCCAAACGCCCAGCTCTGTCTTGACCACTGTCCACCTATCTTGCCACGCTACATGAATCCTGTGGCAGCTTTGTTGGGTCTTGTCCGCGCGGAAGTGGATGCGGGCCGTTTTCGAGGAGGTCGTGCCATTGACCTGCAGTGAGTTGGGGTAAATCTGCACTGTGATGTCCTACGGTGGGGGCGTTCGTTGAGGAATGTGCCCAGGAGGCTGCAGACCCTACAAGATGCCGTATGTGGTGAGGGCGGCGGTGATATCCATGGCCAACCCACGATTGGAGTTCCACCGATTCTCAGACCCTCGATTCTTATCCAATGATTCCTTGTCCAATGTCCCCACCGTGCCCAATGCGTGCGCACGCGCAGTGATTTCGGCCGGCTGCGGCCAGGGTCACTCTTGCGTGTAGAAAGGCACCCGCGCGGACCTCGCGCGTGCAGACGACATCCCTGCGCGAACACCTGCGTATCGACGCTGGTGCCGCCTCCTCCTGGCCCGGACCAGAGGCCGTTTGAGGCGCCGCCCCTGTTGCGCTGGAAGGATGGACGAGAAGCCGGGGGGGAGGAGGAGGAGGAGGAGGAGGAGGAGGAGGAGGAGGAGGAGGAGGAGGAGGAGGAGGAGGAGGAGGAGGAGGGAGGAGGAAGGAGGAGGAGGAGGAGGAGGAGGAGGAGGAGGAGGAGGAGGAGGAGAGAGGAGGAGAGTAGGAGGAGGAGGAGGGAGGAGGAGGAGGGCAGGAGGAGGAGGAGGAGGAGGTGGAGGGGCAGGAGGAGGAGGAGGAGGAAAAAGAGGAGGAGGAGGAGAAGGAGGAGGAGGAAAAGGAGGAGGACGAGGAGGAGGAGGAGGAGGAGGAGGAGGAGGAGGAGGAGGAGCAGCGAGCACATGAGGCGACGCGACGAGTCAGGATGATGGGAATGCAAGAGAAGCAGGAAAGATGAGAACGCACAATCGCCCCCAGAACATCGAGAGCATGCCCGACTCGAGCCCAGCAGAGCCTCACGGCTGCGGGCAGACTCTCCACCCTGGCCAGACTTGGCCAGAGAGACAGACAAGCCAGGGCCTGCGTTCCCAGCCCCCAGCACGTGAGGGACCACGTGTGCCCGATCCCCGGGTGCCCGAGCACAGATGCGAACGCGCACAGCTTATCAAGAACATTAGCACGTTCGTGGACCCAAAAGCACTGCTCGGCGGGGTCCGAGACCCAAAAAGACGGCGGGGCAGGGCTACGGGGTGTCTGTGGCCTTCCTTCTGATGGCGGCCCGAGGCGAAGGTGTCTCGACGTCACTTGCGCTGAGGGTTCTCCTTCAAGCTCGAGGGATCGCACTGCGAGAAGAGCTGCGACTTGGCCGTTCCCTGAGGAAAGGAGCCACATTTCGTGCAATATATGATCTCGTCAGCTCTGTACAGGATGTGACCCTTGGCGGTCTCGGGAGGCACGGTGCCCTCAGACGGGAGCACCGTGCTGGGAGGGGCGGCGGTAGCCCTGCTCGGGGCCGCCAGCCTGGTACATCTCTCCGAGCCAACCGCCGCGGCCCCCAACGCCTTGGCAGCGTCACGAACGACCTTGTGAGGTCGAGACTCGGACCTGACCCAAGGTTGCACCCGCCTGGTGAAAGGCTCCACCAACTCCGCCAGTGGCTTGGGCAGGCTCCTGGCCTGAGGAGGAGGCGTGGGCGGAGGCGGCACGTCAGCAGAGGCAGGGAGGTCCAAGGGTGGGGGGGGGAGGGAGAGGTCCGACCACCCTGGGTCGGACCGACCTGGACTGGTCCAAGTGGAGCTCCAGCGGCATCTTGGCCGCTGGGACGCCTGGGCCCGGCCCGCGGAAGGCTCCAGGGGCTCACCGGGGGCCGACGGAGGCCAAGGGGCCACAGCAGGTCGACTCACCGCGCCAGTGCACCCTGCTCGTGCCATCACGGCCTCCCTGGCCCTTCTCGCACAGCGAGGGCAGGCATGTGCACGTCCACACCCCGCGCTCCTGGGCACGGTGGGCATGCAGGAGGAGAAGGAGGAGGAGGAGGAGAAGGAGGAGGAGGAGGAGGAAAAGAAGGAGGAGGTGTAGGAGGAGGAGGAGGAGGAGGAGGAGGAGGAGGAGGAAGAGGAGGAGGAGGAGGAGGAGGAGGAGGAGGAGGAGGAGGAGGAGGGAGGAGGAGGGGGGGAAGGAGCAGGAGGAGGAGGAGGAGGAGGAGGAGGAGGAGGAGAAGGCCGCTCGCTCTCTCCGTGCGCTCCAGGGCACGGTGCTGCTGTCCCCGCACGGGCGCGCACGGCCGCGAGACCCCCTCGCACGGCGAGCTGCTCGGGCCCCTCGGCGCGGGCGTGGGGCTCGCCTCGCCCTGCGGGACCACGGGCTCCGCTCGGTCGGGGCGTCCCTCGAGCAGCTCCCGGGTGCTCGCGGTCCGGCAGGCGATCTGGCGCACCTTTTCCAGCAGAGAGCCATGGCACCTCCTCGCCCCTGGTTCAATCTACGCCATGAGCTGCGAGCCCACGCGCAGCGGCCACATGCGCGCAGACGTGGCCCCTCTTTCAGTCTGCGTCCGTCCTCATGAGCCTGATGTGCCCTGACGTACTCGATCGACAAATCATTGCTCAGGCCTCCGTGATCCTCCAGCAACCTCCATAACTCAAAAACCAGAGGTCTCGATTCGGGCGTCCAGGGTGGACACCATTGCCCGCCCCTGTCGAGTCCACCAATTGTCGCCATACAATGCGTGTGCATGTATTGGGGCAGGATAAAGCGCCATGATCACTGCGTACACCTCCGATCTTGGCACCTATGGTTGAGCACATGGCGATGGCCCATGAGCGAGGCCTCGTACTTGTTGCCATCTCATCACGGCGATGCCCCATCCTGCTCCGGCTCCTTCAGGCCATCCGATCTGAGTGCGACCAGCTCCGCCCGTGTAAATTTCGCCCGCGATCTGATCGTGCCGGCCTCCGTAAGCGCAGTGCCAGGATCCTGTCATGTGCGGCGTGCTCAAAGCTTGTAGCAGATCCCTCGGCATCATGGCTCTGGTGTACAGCATGTCGTTGGATGCCGATGCCTGGCCACATCTATGCTGTGTTGGTCCACTGCCATCACTCTCTCTGGCCCCAAGCTCGGGCACAGCCAGAGCCTGTGAGGCAGGGTACCCGGGCGATTCACACCCTGTGAGCCGACGACCTAGTAGTTGAGCCGCGCGCCCGCGTGCTGCGCCATCGAGGAGTCGGTCGATGGTAAGGTCGAAGTTGTCGTGGTACTTGTAATGTTGACCCCCGCGCAGTGGAAGCAGTCGCTGGTGTCGGTGTAGCCGTACTGGCACAATCTATCTCGTGACTGCTGAGCTCTCGGGCTGACAACTTGAATGATCTCGTCTGCTCCTTCGGTGCCAGGGGCATCTGCAGCGGTGCCACCCAATATCCGCATGCCACGCGATTCGGTGGTGATGCCTCTGGTGAGTGGTCTTTCCTCTCAGCCCATTCCTCCCGTTTCACATTGAAGAACTCCTCCCCGCCAAGGTGCGGATCCAGTCAGGAGGATCATCGGTCAGGTCGACGAGGATACCGCTGGGAGTGGTCAATCGAGGGTATATAAACTCGCCAACGCAATTGCTGCAGGATGGACCTCACGTTCTTCCATTGTGGCGAACTTCCCAATCCCTGGCCCTGCTGGTCAAAAGCCTTCTGCAAGACGCCATTTGATTTAGCAGAATCAATCGCCATCTTAGCCCACAAGTGCAATGGCTCCGCTGCTGCAAACACTCAGGGTGCTAGTCTCGCTGAGGTTCGAGTTGTGCAGCCAGCCATGTTGGCGTGCCCGCTGGTGTCCTGTACCATCCGATCCTCACCATCCTTGTCATGGAGCGAAAGAGCGAGTGCTTGCCCTACCGACGGCTGCGCCACTGCACGTCCAAGACGAACCATGGCTGCGAGGCGTTTGAACCGTGGTAGCCTCTTTGCCATTCCTTCATCCTCTTCCTGACCGAGGTGTACCGTAGACGGTCACCTCCTCGCGACTTCACTCCCAAAATGCCAAGCACCGTGCATTCACCGAATCCATGATGCTGGACATGTTGTATTATTTGAGTTGCAATTCCAGGGGTTGCCGATATCAGTTTGGCTTTATCTTTGGCGATGGCCCAGCGTTCTGAGCACCGCCGCGATTCTCTGGATGATGCGCCCTGATGCGTTCACTATTTCTTGAATGGAAGCAGCCACTTGAATGGTGACGTCATCCGCACGCACGCCTGGAGGATGAGGAGGAGGAAGAGGAGGAGGAGGAGGAGGAGGAGGGGAGGCGAGGGGAGGGAAGATGAGGGAGAATGGACCACGACGAGCACAGAAAGCTGAAAGGAGGGAAGGAGCGGGCGCCAGGAGGAGGGGGAGGGGGGGGAGGAGAGGATGTGAAGTTTCACACCGACCGCGCGCGGCATCCGAGCTGCCCTCCCGGGCCGGAGCGGCCTCGATCGACGGTGCCCGCGCGCGTGGCCAACGTGAGCCGCAGGACCTGTGCGGCGCTCTCGAGCAAGAAAAGGCGCCTGTGTCCGTCTTCCTGTGTGCTCAAGCCGTTTCTTTCGAGGATGAAAGTTGGAAGATGAGGAGAATCATGTATGTATCATCCTCTCCTCCTCGTCTCCCTCTCTCCCCATTACTCTCCCCCCCCCTCCTCATCGTAGTCGTTCGCGTTACGAGCATGATTGGTGTCCTGTCACAACCCTCCCTGCTCCTCCTCCTCCTCCTCCTCCTCATCCTCCTCCTGCTGCTCCTCCTGTTCCCGCTCCTCGTTCCCTGCCCATCCTCCTCGTCATCCACCTCATCCTCGTCCGCGTCCTCCTTCTCCTGCTCCTTATCCTGCTCCATATCTCCCCTTCTCATCAGTATCAGCAGCAACATCATCATCGTCGGCAGCAGCAGCAGCATCAGCATTAGCATCAGCACCATCATATTCAGCATCGTCGTCATCATCATCAGCATCATCAGCATCAACATCAACATCAGCATCAACATGGACATCATCATCATCATCATCATCATCATCAGCAGCATCATCATCAGCAGCATCAGCATCAGCATCAGCATCATGATCATTATTGTCGTCATTATCATCGTCGCCGTCGGCACCAGCAAAATCAGCAGCATCATGAACATCCCCTGTCAGTTGCCATGTTGACTCAAGACCGCTGGGGCGCCACGCGTCGGCTGCTCCTCCATGTGCGCGTCGTTGTGCTACTCAGCTACTCGAAGCCGATCACGGCGCACCAGTCCAAGAACTACCACGGTGTCTACAAGATGAATGTGATTGGCCTCGGGTTCGCACTATCAGCGAGCAAGGCCGTGACGGATCAGGCTCAAAAACGGTCCCAGACGTGCGATTGGCGGCCCCGAAGCTTACGATGGAGCGCCGCCGCTCGGTGCTGAACTGCCAGCCTCCGTCTACTTCGTTCGCCAGCTCTTCGAAGAGCACAAGAAGAGAGGTACAGCCACCATCGCCAGCATGTTCAACGGCCATGTCAACGAAAGCAAGCAGAACACCAGCACCCTACTCAAAGCCTACGACGCCACGATCCAGACCCATGTTCAAGGACTTCGGTTGCGTAAGTACGCCCATGCTAAAGGCATCCCCATCTACACCTAACGTGCTGACACAAGCCAGGAACAGATGGCCAACGACACCGCCGACTTCAAGAAGCGCAGCAACGCTGCCGAGAAGCAAAAATGGGCCACCACGGATGAATTGCCGTCATCAGCGACGACGACGTCCCTTTTCCAGGCCGTCCTCGTAGCCCGCGTCAATGGGTTGTGTTCCAAGACCGCCATTTGACAAGCCTCCCTTTCCCTCCTCAGAACCACCAGGGCCTCAGAGGCGTCGACCTGTCTGGACCGCAGGCAGGCTGCAGATTCGAGGTCCGCTTCTCCGTCTCCGTCTCCGTCTCCATTCCCTCACACAGCCACGGAATGACCGAGGGTGCACGGCCGGCCGAAGCTAAGAAATAGGGGGGTAGGGGGCAGGCAGAAAGATAGTGGTAGGCGGACGGCTGTCCTGAACGGTGCCCCCGATGCAACATGGGCGAGGGCGGCGCTAGGCGAGCACGTGTCTCTTTCTGGCACCACGGAGGGCAGGACGAACCTAGCCCGAGCCGCCCTCGATGCCAGTCGCGGGGCTTGCATCAGCACGTAACAAACGCCACAAGGACGCCGCCGGCAGCTGCAGGCACAAAAACGCGCAACCATAAAGCACAAGAACCAACATCGAACAGCGACGCGCAAACACCAAACGGCCAAGAGGGGGGCCACCCCAGCGAGAGTCAGTGACCAACGCTGGCACAAACCACCCTCCGACACGGTAAAGCGCAACGGCTGACGCCGGCTACCACTCCCTCTTACCCCCACAGCCTTGCGGCAGAGCCAAACGACCAGCAGTTGCGACCGGCTCGCTGTCCGAGAGCCCGAGAGGGGCGACAGAGGAAGGCGCGGGCCAGACGGCGCTCGACGCGACTCGCCTGGGCCGGGGGCGCAGTCGTCTTCCCTCCCCAGGTCGCGAGGCAGGAGACAGACCCGAGGGTTCCACCGCCCCCGCCGTCGATCGATCCAGAGGGGCTGCGCACTCCCGCCCCCGAGCTTCGGCCCCGACACGGAGGAAGGCGAAGACCAGACTCGCGCACCCGAGGGCGCCAGGACAGGAGGCCCCGCGGCCAGCTCTTCTCCCCCCTCCGCGCCCAGGGGAGGCACCCTGGACCGGGTTGGGGTTGAGTCGGGCCTGTCCCTCTGCAGGAGGAATATTCCAAAAATAGCGTTGTTGTGATTAGTAGTATCTTAATTGTTTTCTTAGAGAACAGGAAAAAGTCTGGGGGCTATTGTTTGCGTATTTCTGGGCATCGTTTGAGCATTTTTGGGGTATGTTTTATTTGTCGTCCAAAATCCCTCTGTAGGGGGACAGGCCCGACCTAAGGTTGGGGTCAGCCGCGTCTTTTGCAGTGCACCTGCTTCACCAGAGGCACGACCATACCAACTTGGGCTCGAACCTGGCATGCTACGAGACCTCAGGGGAGGGAAGAAGGGTGGGAGGGGTTGGGAAGGGCCATTATCATTCCTGGGAGAGCTAGCAGCGTCCACCCCAGAGTTAAACCAGGGCCTTGCGGCAACTCCCCGAGAAAGAAGGGGGAGGGGTCTGCGAGGATCTGAACACCCCGCCGCTGGCGAGACGCAAGCAGGGCTCGAACCTGGCTCGAGGACCCAACGCGACGACAAACGAAGCGAGGACACGACAACGACGACAGACGAACGATCACGAACCGCACAGGGCTGAGGAGTGGCCGCAGAAGGGAGGAGGAGGAGGACCAGTGTAAACCCAAGCCTCATCAACGATATTGCAATAAACCCTCCCTCCAAGTTCTCTCTTCGCATGCCCCCACAAGAGTTCAGTCTCGCTGAGGGAAGTGCCCCGTCTGAAGATAATGATTTGAAAATCTGGAACTGCGCTTGAACGCCATTCGTGAGATCCCATTGGGATTTCAAAGCCGCGAGTCACCATGATTGTTGCGTCTTGACGATCCTGAAACATGAACAAAGTTCCTGAGACTTAAAACACAGCGAATCAACGTGACTCTTGCGCCCTGATATTCCGACATCAACAGTAAACATGATAATATTTGAAACGAGTGAAGCTTCTTGAGACGAAGGTGCGCGGCGGCGCTGAAGCGAGAGCAACATGTTAAAAAAGGAGCCGTCCTGCACCCGCGAAGCTCTTGCAAATATTTAAGACGAGTGCGCGTGGCGTTAACGATAAACCCACAGTTTAAAAAGATGACCGCCCTCCATCCGTGAAGCTCTTGCATTTGTTCATACGAATGTGCGTGCGGCGCTCAGGCGAAAGCCACATTTTGAAAGGCGGGCCGCCCTCCATCCGTGAAACTCTTGTAATTTGCCAGGGCGAATGCGCGCAGCGCAAAGGCGAAAGCCACATGTTGGAAGCGGGCCGCCCTCCATCCGTGAAATTGCTATGAACCTCAAATTTCAGGATCATAAGTGTTGGGGAGGTCTGAGGCGAAACGCCCAGCCTTCCTCTTCGACGGGCCTCGGGTTGCGACAGGGAGGAGTTATTTAGCAGGAGAAGGAATGGAGGAGGAGGGGGAGCATGAAAAGGAGGAGGAGGAGGAAGAAGAGGAGAAGAGGAGGAGGAGGAGGAGAAGGAGGAGCATGAGGAGAAGGAGGAGCATGAGGAGGAGGAGGAGGAGGCGGGAGGAGGAGGCGGAGGAGGAGGAGGAGGAGGCGGAGGAGGAGGAGGAGGGAGGGAGGGAGGAGCGGGGGAGTTGCCTCCAGCCCACGGCACGCGCCCCCCAGGGGGTAGGGGGTGCAAAAAGCCAGGGCGGCAGGGGGACGAGGACCCCTCTGCGGGCATAGGCGCGCACCCGAGCGGGGCCGCGGCCGCGCAGAAGACAGGAGGCCCGCCCTCCAGAGCCAGCTGCTGCATCCCTCCAGGGGGGGGGGGGGGGGGCACCCCCAGTCCATACGGGGCGCCGCCCTCCGCCAGGTCCCCCATGCTGGGGCGCAGCAGTATGGGAGGAGGAGGAGGAGGAGGAGGGGAGGAGGAGGAGGAGGAGGAGGAGGAGGGAGGAGGAGGAGGGGAGGAGGGAGGAGGGAGAGGGAGGAGGGAGGAGGGAGGGAGGAGGGAGGAGGGAGGAGGGAGGAGAAGGAGGAGAAGGAGGAGAAGGAGGAGGAGGAGGAGAAGGAGGAGGAGGAGGAAGAGGAAGAGGAGGAGGAGGAACCGGTGCTCAGCAAGTCATGGGAATCTGACGCCATCGGACCCACACCGCGTGCAGGCGGCGCCACGCGGCGCCCAGGCAGCACCGTTTCGCCGCGGTGGCAGGGCACACAAGGTCCGCTTCAGCGGGCCAGCGCCGCCACTACCGCCACCCAGGTGTTCGACGCCCAACGGAGGGACGGGGTTCGCTGCAAACTCCTTGGCGCGCTTGCCAGTAGACATGAACTCGCAGACTTCTTCATCAGCCCGAAAATGGACGCCAAATCCGAACGCAACGAAGGACTCCTACGCCAGCTTTGCAAAGCCATCACAGTTATTCATCATGGAGTTGCAAGCCAATTTCGCACCGCCAGCTCTGGGGGCATCGTACTCGCGTCCCGTTCGCCCGCGTATCCAGCGGCTGCCCTTGGCATGCCCATTACAATTGGCGCCTCGCCGCTTGCGCGAGACACCGCGTCAAAAAGGACGCCGTCACCGACAAGACCAACGAGTTCGTCAAGGGTATGATGATCATTCCGCCGTTCCTTCCCGCTCGTCGTTCTCGTTATTGGCCACATCCTCGTCCTCCTCCCCCTCCTCATCCTCATACTCATGCCCACCCATTGTCCTTAGATCCACTCTTGTCCAATCGGATCTTTGGCCCATGATTGGCCCAGCCAGAAACGGCATAGGTAAATGGACGGCGTCCCCCGATATTCGTGCAGATCTTCCTTCCACGCACCCCACGTCCATCGCGCGTCGTCCCCCTTGCTTCGGCTGCTGGCGAGG